CAAAAAATTAATTTTCCGCACGATATTATATTGACGTGACGTTGATCCTCCTTGGATATATCCAACTGAACAAACAAGGTTCTCTCTTTTGTTCCTCTTAAACTACATAAATACTCCTTAGGCAGCTCCGTCCAAGCCTCCAAGGACTCCATAAAAACTGTTCAACAACCAGACCTCCTTTCCAAACTTTTTCAGAAGAAAACAATGTCTTCTCTCTCCTACCTTGCCAGCTATACCATCAGGTGCTCTTCCACTATTGATGGTCATGACCCAAATAAGCAAAAAATGAATAGTATCCAGGTCAATGTGACTGTTAGTCATGTCTCCACAGCTGACCTAGTAAACTATAAAAATGGAGCAGCCAACACCTTAGTTGCTCATTTTGCTGAAAATGGGTGCATCAGCAAAGAACAAGATCGCCAGAATATTCCGACGAAGAAGCAGTTCGTTGATCCTTATCGACAGGGGCTGATCATCGAAGAGGGTGTTGGGTACAGAGTCTACAGACAGACTGTTGTCGTTCGGTCCTATGAAGTTGGTCCTGATAAATCTGCAACAATTGAGAGCATTCTTAACCTTCTTCAGGTGAAAAGTTAAGAGTTCACTGTGAATATTTGCAGCAGTTGGTAAGTTAATGTATCTGGCATGCAGCCCATAACGGCATTAGTAAACGTGCAAGAAACGGAATTAGAAAACACGGTTCTCCTTTATTTTCTTCCTTTGAGGGTATCTTGTCATCAATATTATGAATTTGTTGACGATTCTCTTCGATAATGAAATTATTCTTTTATTAAAAAAAAACAAATACATACAGGAAACAGCACTGAATCATGTGTGGATGTCGGGTCTTCTTGGAGATGGATTCGGAGCCACACATGGAATGATGAGAAATAATCTCATTTGGGTTGTTTCAAGGATGCAGCTCCAAGTGGATCATTATCCTATCTGGTAAGCCCCCTTCATCATCAATTCCACTATTTATATTGTTCAGACTACTAAAAGAGTACATTCAAATCAAGATAAGAAAATAAGAGATGTTCAAACACTTTGATACTATTAGTATATAATTGTGCACTCCACCATTCTCATCAAACCATTAGAAGTTATATAGTTGGATTCAAACAGAACTAAAAAACTCGCGCTCAAGCTCTGAGTTGTTTGATTCAATCTTTGAATGAAACCATCTTACTTTTGTCTCCTTTTAGATGTGAGATTACTTTAGTCTGGCTCACCTGTGGTTTCAACAACATCAATTAGAGCATGGCATCGGATATACATGTGCCAAAGATGATCACCCATCTAGAATAGGCAAGATAGAAACAATTCAGTCTCTTGATATACAAATAATGCATGAAAATACCATTTTAAGTCATATTGTTAAGACACTTCCGTTTATGTTTCTCAATCACAACTAAATAAAGAACTTTTTCACAGGGGTGAGGTAATGGAAATCGACACATGGGTCGGGGCGTCAGGGAAAAATGGCATGCGGAGAGATTGGCTACTCCGAAGCCATGCCACAGGCCTTGTATTTGCCCGCGGAACCAGGTATATATATCTCACAATCTTTTATCCGTACTTAATATTGGCAGGGTTTCTGTCATTTGTGTTTGTATCTGAGGGTCCAATTATGGAACAGTACATGGGTGATGATGAACCAGCAAACCAGGCGGCTTTCAAAAATGCCAGATGAAGTGAGAGCTGAGATTTCACCATGGTTCATTGAGAAGCAAGCAATCAAATATGAAATCCCTGAAAAAATTGAGAAGTTGGATGATAAGGCAAAATATGTCAACTCGGGCTTGAAGGTAAAACCCTGTCCGTTAGACTTCAATGACTAATGCCATAGGGAGAGTATTGTGAATCTAGTATTAGGTACGATTAACGAGAAAGAAATAAAGCGACTACAATACATAGAGCTGGAAGTTGCACTAGTGAACGGAGAAGGAACTATCAAACAAATAACACACATTAATATGGTTTGACAGAAATCCTATTTTCATGAGCAGTTGTTCTCCAATATATATTTGAATTGTTAGGATTAAAAATTACATGCCGACTGGTTTACAACCCTAAACCCTGTACAAGGTATCTGACTTCTGACAAACAACAGTAAACATCTGTCATGAGCTTGTGGATATCGTTTCGCTTTGTTCATGGAACCTTGGAATTTTAGGTTTAGTGAATATGAATTATCTAATATTTGGAACAATGGGCATTTACTAGTTGATGTAATTTCTCATTTGCAGCCCAAGAGGAGCGATTTGGACATGAATCATCATGTAAACAACGTCAAATATGTTCGATGGATGCTTGAGGTAAGCAACAATCCTATAATTCTTATATCAAATTCGATTCAAATCAACATGGAACCTAAAATTTCAAACTTTCTCATCCTCAGACCATCCCTGATGAATTCTTGGAGGATCACCAGCTGTCCGGTATCGTCCTAGAATACAGAAGAGAATGTGGAAGTTCAGATACCGTTCAATCCCTTTGTCAACCTCAAGAAGATGGAATTTTCAATGGAGTTCAACAAGAAAATAGCATCGGTTTACTCAATGGATATTCATTGACACCAGGAATTCTTGAGGGCAATGGAATCCGGGGGTCCTTATATCAGGGACCATTTAGCTATACACACCTTCTCCAAATTAAAGGAGACTCTAAAAATGAAGAGATTGTTAGAGGAAGAACCACGTGGAAGGCAAAGCTCTCTAGCCTGCTATTTTCTACATAGTGACCTATATTACAGAGCCGATTACTAAATTACATTACTTTTTTAACTTTATTTTATGCGTATTTTGATTTCCAAATCATTTTCAGACTTGCCGTTTGTTTGCATAAAAACGTCACGTAAATTCACATTTTTTAATGTAAAAGTATGTTTACAAAACACGTTTTCGGAGAAGAAAAAAAGCACTATTTTGATTTTGAAAAATATGGATTTGACAAGAATAACTCATTTAGCTGATGCTATAAGAATCTATAAGAAGCAAATGAGCCTTTTTTTTTTTTCTCTTTGTTTGATCTAGCTGCGTATGAATTATTCTAGGATAACATAATTTATATTAAAATTATAATTAACACAAATACAATATGAATCGAAATAATACAACCCGAATATAACAAGATTCTAATGTTACGACATAAAAATGTGACACAACACAACTTCGATGGATATCCCTAATGTCATTAGCCAATAGCCAGGCTCTCCTCACCCGTGTTCATATTACACGCTTGTAGTTAGCTGTAATGTACATTGGCAACTCTCAAAGAGATTCTGGTATAGATTATAACGATAAATGACAGAAGAGGAAGCGATGAAAGTGAGAAAGAATGGAACAGACAAGGGGTCGGACGATTGGGAAAAGGACAGAACAAAAAACTATTCTGACTGATGTGAAGCCATCTGTGTTATTTTCAAGAGTTGTTTTTTATGTGTTTCTGGCTCATGAGCATTAGTAAACCCAAGTGTGAGAGATTTATATATGTATAAGACCGGAAAATTGTCTTATATTTAACTGACGGGTTTTGGATTATACTTATTCTAATTTGATCATTAAATCTAGCTCAATTTACATCGAGATTTAGCATATATACTTCAACATATAGTATATAAGTCATGATGCCTTTTTTTTCCTTAGAATTTTTATCTATTTAATTAAAACACACATGTCTCATGTATTTGTATTATTTTTTTTTAGAATTTGTTTTTCCTTGGAATTTTCCTTAGAATTTTTATCTATTTATATGTAATTTATCAATTTAATTTTAAACGACAAACTAACGGTTGTTAGTTTCGGGTATGCATTGATACAAATTTTTATTTTTGAGGGTGTAAATTAAGATTTTTTATTTTTAAAAGTACAAATTAAGATTCAAACGATCTTTCGAGTGTAATTTATAATTAACCCACTTAATTAGAAGACCTAATCCCCAAACCCATCTATCATTAGCAAAAGTACCTTGCCTCAGTTTTGTTGAAACCCAGCCCAGGTGCTATTTTTTTAGTGTGAGATATACATGAGATTGTAGTAAGGAAGCTAACCCGAACCGACAAACAAGGCAGAACAAACGTTACTTCAAAGGCAATAATAAAATACTTAAAAAGGTGTTACCAAAATGGTAACTTAGTCATAGTATTACATAAAAACAAGTTATTTTTATGAGAAAAACAAGGATAAATCTCACTTCATTCTCTTATGGTATATTCCAAAAGTATTTTACCTTTCTGCATTTTAGAAATTCCACGTAACACTCGCATGTTTATTGGACTAAACTGCAAAATCAAAGTTTCCATCCAATTTGACAGTGGGTGTGACTTCAGTGGGCTATAATAATATTTTTTTTTTTTTTTGGGACTCCAGGAATAGAATCCTCAAGTACTATTGGGAGAAGCAACCTTTATAATTGGGAGCGAAAAGCGATAATAAAAATTGTTGGATCGGAAAAACCATCGAAAGGTCAATTATATTTACACCAGTGAGACTAAAGGGTTGCCAATATTGGGCTTTGGTGCCATCCAACTGCTGCTGCATGGATGCCTAGTGGAGCTGTTGTATCTCCTACAAATCAACTATTTTATAGACCATTAATTGAAGAGGCTGAAAATACTGCTGGTTTAACCACAGGTCCACAACATGGAATAAGATTTTGGGCATTGGGTGGTGGTCCCATAGCATGTGAGTGGGGGACAATCTAACCCTAGAATTTCCCCAAAATTCGTTCATCACTGCAGAGATCCTAGGGTTCACTGGAGTGATGACCGAATTTTGGGCAACATACAAATAGCAGGGCAATAAATACATTTAGGCTACGCCGTTAACGACGTCACCTTTGCAGTTTAGTCCAATAAGCATGTGAAAATTATGTGGAAGTTTCTAAAATGTAGAGGTAAAGTGCTTTTGGGGTATACCACAAGGGGGGTTAAAGTGAAAGTTGTCCTAAAAACAATGAAATATAATTTGATGGATCATAATCTTTTCAAAAATTCAATGCCCAAAGATAAATTTCCAACTCTGACTTACATTGTTAGACTTTTCCCACTACCTAACAAAAGAATTCATATTTACTGTGATTGCCTAATACTAAGATAGCAAGCATTTACAAAGTAGGAGGTTGATGAGTACCTAGAATATGATTAGTTACCGAAAACATCAGAGAGAAATCAAAGAACGATGAAATCACAGGTAAAATCACTGCCACTTTTTGCCCAAAGAGCGATGAAATTGACACGGCCACACAACCAAGAATACCACCAGGCTAATTCCGACTGATGTCCAGAAGATTACCAACCATGTAGGCATCGGATTGGGGAATAATCCTGGAGAGAGACCAGCAGCCATGGTCATGTATGTCAGTCAGCAGTTTTAAGAGAGATCAAATCCAATTGGCAGTAAGCAAGCCAATTAGAAAAGTATGGACAACGATAGATTAAAAAAAATAACATACCGTGCCCAAACTTGATACAGATGAGGAGTTCGACAATGCAGATCGCAAGAGAAAGCCAACAAAATGCTCCCACCTTTTTCACTGGCGTTCTGAAAGTTGGGTGTAGCATTTGGTAAACGATAAAAAAAAAAAAAAAAAAGAAAGAAAAGTTACATCGCATCTCATGCTTCTAAAATTCTATGATAACCTTGCATATATGATTTGCACAAACATGTGTTTGTGTGGTGGGGTGTGTGTGTGTGTGTGTGAGAGAGAGAGAGAGAGAGTACCTGTCTTGCAGGTAAGAATTGTACTCACGTATCGCTGGTATAGCAATTAGCCACCACAACACCAACCTATCCACGACCAGTGGGTTTCTAGGAGGAATCCAAAGACAAAACTTGAGAAAGAATGTGTTCAGTTCCACAGTCAAGAACATAACAACAAGAAACAGAACATGAATGAAACGCCAAGGACCAAGAAGGGGGTGCCACTCATCTTTATCCCACCGTGCTGGTGTAAATTGACCCAGAGTTCTTTTGACCTGTGAAGTTAACAGACAGAGGTAACTTTTGCAGTTGTATGACAATAAATCACTTTCAATATTCACCAACTTGAAATCTAACCTAATACCATGAATATTTCAGGTCGAGTAGTTATATTTTAAGAAATAAGCTCAGGATGCAAAATCTGAAAAGGTGCAAAAAGAAGCATCAAACACTTCATCCACAGAATGTACAATCCTTAGATGGTACGTTGATTTCACTCTCAATGAGCAAAAGTAAACTATTAGTCAATCCCTGATTTCGCATGTAAGATTGCAAGTGATGTTGTAATCTTAACAAAACACTACACAGTAAAGAGCCGCGCATGCGAAGTGAAACAAGATCCAGAGAAAAGAACATTAACCACAAACTGAATATAGCCCAAACAGAGTAAGCAATATAGGGCGACATATCTTGAGAAGAGATAATAGGGATACTGTCTTGGAGTGAAAAAAGCGAGCAAATCTGAATGCTAATCATGGAAAATTTTAATCCTAAGGCAAGTGTGAAGCAACAATATCTAATGACTGAAAAACACTACAAGAAAAGAAAAACCAATATGTCTTCCTCTCAAGAAATGAGGAGTTCAACAGTCTAACTAAAGAAATCGAAACCATATAACAACAGAATCAGAGATCAATCAAAAATATATCAAGAACATCCTTCATAAGCATCAAGACAAGATCTCAAAATCACACAAAAATAAGTTATGCTAAAACATGGTAAGGACCAAGCTTAACCCCAACCAAAGACTGTTAATATGGGCACTTTAACGTGGAATTTCATGTTCCAGACACTGTTTATGGTGTTTCTATCCTTTGTGACATCATGATCATTCGTCTTTTTCACCTCTTTCAAGTTTCGGCCTCTGCTTGTTTTATAGTTTTTTCAGAATATATGGGCAACAAAAAAATGTGAATCAGATACCTGTATTCCTTGGGTTTTAGAGGATACGTGTCCACCTTGTGGATTATGAAAGACCAATCCACTAGTCCATCACAGAGACCTTCGTAAGGCACCAATCAAGGATTTGTTGCAGGTTTTTCTAACCCAGCTAACACTACATCCTATATCCACTCCCTCTAGTATCCGGAAAACTTTTTCATATTGAGGGGAAACTGTGAGTGTGCTTCTAAAAGCCATATATGTGAGTTTTACGACAAATTCTATTATATGAGTTTCATGACAAATTCTATTATATGAGTTTCATGGCAAATTCAATGTTTCTTTTCCCATAGTAGACCATTAATATCAACTAAAGTGTCAAAATTACCCATCAAAGGAAAAAGGAAAATCAGACAAGAACAATGCTCCAATCATTTGTCTACAGTCCAGTCTAGTTCATATGTACTTCCCTCCAGATAAGTGTGAGAACTTAACAATTTGCCAAAAATAATATGCAGTAAAGTTGTGGCATATGGTCAATTACTTACTTATGCCAAATGGAGAGAAAAAAGCCCAAGTTTCTAAGGCTTTTTCATCTTACGATATAAAATTGTCTCTCATTCTACAGCAAGGGAAGATAGAATATGTCAAGTGATTGGTAGGTTATGATCGTTGCAGTCTTTTGTGCATATGGACATGAACAACTTCAAAATGATATGAAGGTGTCAATGCAGGAAGTTCTTCACAATGTAGGACCAAACCATGCAAGGACAAGCTTGCACACAGGGGGAAAAAAGGCAGGTATACATAGACCACCGTATATCCAAACATTGGATATCTGACATGAAGGCAACTCCTCATAAAGTAAAGGTGCTAGCATCCAGTGTGAATAGCACAACTAGCTCAGCACAAAAAATCTATTCCATCAAGGCCGGTCCAACAAGAAGGAAAACACCAGCTGATATGGTTGTTGCAAGATTTGGAAGAACTTTAACATAAAAACTAGAACATAGGGTTAATGAATGTTAATATACATACTTTGCCTATAAGATTTGGCTGACGGCTTATCCCAATCCATTCATAAGTCTTACCATCAAAATACTGAACAGTATGCATTCCAGTCCATATACCTGCATAATAAACCCAATAAAAAAAAGCTTGTCAGTCATCCATGTACCCACCAGTACGTAAGTTAACTGGAGAATAGATGCAAGATAAGTAGATAAACACCAGACAGTGATAGGGACAGAATGTAACATTTAGCAAGTCAAATTTCAGAAAAATAAAATTCCAAGATTCTATATCCAATTCCATAGCAACATGTTAACACCAGTGTTTCTGTTATTCCAACTTCAGATTGCATTGATGCACCAAAAACGCAAATCCAAAATTCCTGATCTATAAATTGTATGGTACTAATGCATTTCAATGCAAGTATGAGACACCTGGTGAAATTGACAAATAGTAAAAAGCAGAAATGGAAGGCTGTCAATGATAGGTGTGAAAATTATAAAGGCAAAACAGCATCAATACTGTCACAAAAGTGGAACTCTATATTGTAATTTGGGCAACAATTTAAAAGAAATCATCAAGACACCATTAATGTTCAAAGTCTAAACTGGGCAGTTGAGGCTCAACTAAAAGCAAAAAAAGGATAAATATTTTAAAACGGCTGAAAGTTAATAGCAGAATTGTAGGTCAACAGTTACCAATAGCAGTGGAGGAGGACACAATTGAAATACAACAAGGCTATAATCAGGGCCCAAATTTCTGAAAACAGTTAAAATTGGCCCAAAATTCCAGATTCTTTAAAGAGAAAACTGTAATTCAAAAGATAGCATAAGCATTCATATAGGCAAAATATATTTTACCAAGTTGTGTGTTTGCAATTTTTTTTAACAGATGGACTCAAGCACACTAGCAGAGAATCAGCATTCAGAAAAAATCTATAACAAAATTCTGATGAAACAACTGACAAAATTCAATAAATATTATTTTCTTCTAGCAAATAGCGTCATAAAACATCTCATAACTCAACTTCAACAAGGAAAGTTGTATAGTCATCAAAAGAAAATGAAAATGCTACAGCTCACTATCTTTCTATAAGCAGATTGGACAAGATCTATTCATAGGAGGACACCATACAGTCTCTACAGGAAGAGGAATAGATTTTCCAAGAAGAGTTGGCTACCTCACTGAACTAGGTACAAATCATATTGCCATTCAACAAGTAAAAAACAGATTAACATCATGTCTTCGAGTTTTTTATGGAGGTCATAAACTGCATGGGAATAATCATAAGGACATAGTAATTGACGAAAATAGCAACGATAGTAATTGGTGACAAAACTCAAAAAATGTGCAAAACAACTAAACGTTAAAATGACAATACTAATATTCTACAGTAGACAATGATTAGAAAAGATAGTAGCTTCAGGGTTCTAGCAAAACCACTTACAGATTAATATATCCACAACAGCAACCGCAGACAAAACTTGAACATTATGAAACACAATGCAATGTTATCATTGCCAGGCCAATATTCTACAGTCAGATAATGACAAAAAAAGATAGTAGCTTCTGGGTTCTCACCAAACCAATTACAGATGAATATATCAAGAACAATACTGTCCCACCAGCACTCATTGAAGTTAGGTAACATGTGGCAGAAGGTAAGCTGAAAATGCCAATACATGAATCAATCCTAAGAAAGAACACGAATAGCCATCTTGAGAAATAGATTGAGAGAACAGAAAAAAGATAAAACATCTGTGCTACACAGAACAGAACCACAAAATGTTTAAAGTTGGTCAAGGCTTGGACCTCCATTAACTCAAATCCAAATGATAGTACCCACAAAAGGGGCTGATTGCGAATCATAATAGCCTTTCCCCACCATCCAAAGATATGAGCTGGAACAAATTCGTCAAAAAGTGTTTCCTAGTCAAAAATGAAACTAATCAGAGGCCATTGGAATCCTAACGATGTATTTGTTACACCAGTATAAAGAAAATGTGCAGACAAAAAAAATTATGAGGTCAAAAGGATTGTGAAAGAGGAAATCATACATAAACATTCTTAAACCTGCTTGTGGGATTTTCAGGCACATAAATTCGGCAATCAGCACCATAAGATCTCTCAGGAAGTTCTGCATTGTATATAGAAAATAGAGCTGAAAACCAAACAAATGATCTCAAAAATCACTCCACCACCTATCCACCTAGACAAATGGGGGATGAACAGCTTCACAAAAATCAAAATCAATAGCTAACACCAAAATGGGCTAATCAATGTCATTTAGTAAAAGAAATAAACAGTTTTGCAAGCCCCAGATTAGTTACCAGCACCGAGATCAGGATGGAGATATTTCATGAATTGCCGAGCATCATCACGGTTCTGAAAAAGTTCAAAAGAAAATTTCTAGTTTTAATAGCCATTGAATATAGTTTAAATGTTAATGTGAAAAGGTCGCAAAGAATCACAGAGAAAAAGATGCAAGAAAGAACAAACAAGTTACCCAGAAAGAAAACAGAAATGTAGGTTTGGTAGAGGCTTAATATACAGCACATAAGCGCAAATACTCTGTAGATTCGTAAGAATTGTAGACATCGTTCACCACCAAAACAAATACAGCAGAGCTACAAACAAATGGAAGAAATATACTGGTGGTCCATTTGTTACAAATTAACGATGGCATTAAATACACATGCCCACCCTACCCCCCATGGAAGACAAAAAATAGCCAACTGCTGACTGTTTCATGACATGAATTTCGTTTAAGGTATCGCAGCTGAACAAAGGAACCAACCTGGAAAAGTAAGAAGGTCAGAGAGACCAGGTAAACAATAGCCATTCCATGTACTAGGCGCCAAATTGCAGGGTGCGGCCTAATAAGTATTCTGTAAGACCAAGTTCATTTACAAATGTTAGAGCTGGTAGAAACAGTATCAGTCAACTACATTAATAGAATCTTCAAAATATTCCCATATTATCAATGATTCCTTCACAAATATGCTTTGGCTACAACTAATGCAACCATTATAACATCGTTTGGGCCATGCCTAATTGCTCCATCTGGTTTGAACCTCAAGGGGAGAGCTAGCCATCAGGAGGAGGGTTAGGTATCATTTCGGTTGGTCTACACCTACAGCACAATAAAACAAGGGAAAAAATGAAATTCCTAACAATGAATTCTGTTCAAAGCTGCAAGGGGAAGTTTGGCAACAACTATGGATTGATAGTCGTAGAGATTGCCCGTTAATCATCTTTGGCGAAAGAGAATGGAAGTACGTGTAATCTTCTGTCTAATTATATAATGAGCGACTGTTTGGCAATAAAAACCTTTGGATTTTATCATAACACTAGAAATTGCCCCTTCCAAAAGGGGCGGTTTAATACAAAAAAAAAAATTAAAAAAATAACATATATTGGAAATTAAGATTAAAATTCAGCAAGTCTTCCTTAAAATCTTTCGCTTCATTGCCGCTTTGAAAGTCTTAGGCTGGATATTCATCTTCTACAGTGCCTTAGGAAGGAGGAGTCTGGATTTGCTTTGTTGGGACTTCCCTGACTCAGACGTCTCTCTAAGTCTTCCAGAGAGCTTTACAGTTCCTAGGAGGTCTTTTGGCAATCAGAGGCATTAAATAGCCTTATCAACTGTTCAGTTGCCTTATCAGATAGCCTATCCTCTGGCTTCTTATTTCCCAAAGCAGTCTGTTCATTTTCCTTATCAGATAAGTTTATCACACTGCCCAGCTCTTCTCCCAGCTCAAGATAGCTGCTGCACATGGCCCACCTTGGCGTCTCTCAGCTCACTCAGCTCACTCAGCTCATCTCAGACTAGCCCATCTTCCTGCTGTATCCCTAAGCTGGTTGCAGCAGCCGGAACAGTCACTGTTTACGTCACTGTTCAGCAGTACAAGCTTAGCTATGAATCCAGCAATGTTTTAGCTGGTTTAACTTTCAGCTGAATTTCAAAATAGGCTACATTAGTCAGAAGCATTTTAGGAGATTAGGTTTTCTAGAGTATTTTAATATTTCCAGGTAAAATCATTCATTAGAATCTTTTCTTAATTCCTTATTAAACTATAATTAGATTGCATCGAGGGGTAAGGTACATACGTCTCCCCTAGCTAGGTGTAACTTAATTTTTTAATCAATAAAATTCCCTTGCATCGTCGAGGTTCACCAAAAAAAAAATAGAGATAGGCGAGAGAGAAGAAAGAGACAGGTGAGAGAAGACTTATTCTGATCTTGGTTCGTGATTGGGATTTTCAAGTTTGTGGGGTAGAATTTTTTGGGGATGATTTTGAGCCATTGGATTGAATGAATCTCAACCACTCTTGTGGTAGGCTAACTTAAGGATTCAAAATTAGTTTTATCTTATTAGTATAGATTTGATGGTCACAAAGTCTCTTTCTATCACACACAGTTCCGTATGTAATCAATCAGAGATTCAGATGTATAAGATAAGTTACAAAGATAACAGGTGAAAAGAAAAAGGCAGCTATGTAGCATTAGTAAAATAGGTGAGCGTACATTGTAATAGATGCTCAAGACAGCCACTCATATACTAATTCTCCAACTATTAAACATCGAACACCGACAACAGAGTACTGTTTTTTACAAGCAAAAACACCGCACTGGAAAATTCATGGAAGGTTTCAATTTAACATAATCACTAGTAGCATTCTTAAAAATGACTAAATGCTTCTAAAGGTCAATTTCTTTGAACCCGACATAAACTATAATAACTCAACACAGCATTTGTTCCACTTCTTTTCACCTACGATTACATAAGAACGAAGGAGATATTCCAAAATTGCATATAATAGCAAAAAGCATAGAATAGCTACACATATCCAAAAAATCTAATGCAAGGTCAGATATGCACCAAGTTGTTATTGCAAGTTATATCTATTAAATGACAACTCACGTTGAAGGAGCTTGCAGCAAGCAGTAAGCAAGAAACACCGTAATCATTGCCCATATGCCTCTACCCAATAGAATAAACATAAGGTAATTTCAGCTTCTTAGGCGAATTTAAGATCAAAAAGTGATCGAGAAAGGCACACAACCACCATAGACAAACAAAGCACACACCTTTTCACAGATGTAACAGGATCACCAGTTGAACTGTTTTCAGAATCAAGAGCTCCACTAGCCCAACTGTTTTTAGATAAACAAAAAGAAAAAGTATAAACACAATTGAGTTTCTGAATAAACTAAGATGCACCATGTAACATGGACAAAATAATGTTTATGCTCGTCCTGTGACAGATTCTAAATAATGTTGAGATTACATGTGACACTACTTATCAAATACTAATGAAAGCTTACAGTAACTTGGACTAGTGCTTAGACATACCCAAGTGCATTAGATATGGACCTTAAAGTGTCCAGATAAACCAAGTGCAGTAGAAATGGAACTTATAATAGAGTAATTAAATAGAAGTCCAACTCTCGCAACAGATTTTCTTGCTTTCTTACAAGCTACTTGTGATGACAGAGTTGCAAGGCATGGTATACAACTTGAAACTTAACATGACCAACAGAATTTGAAAGGAAGGAAAAGAGAGATTTCTAATGGTTCAGAATCTATAAGAAAAAAATCCAGCACATAACAAAAAATTGCAAAATTGATCAAATCATCACATTGGTCACTAGAACAAATTTGCTCAAAGGCCAAGAAACTTACATAAGAAAACATGCACCAATAAGTAACAATGAAATGGTACGAGGTTTGTATGCCCACGCAGTCCATGGATCCAGTTCATCATCAACAGTCAATGTGCTCACATCACCATTTTCCTGAGTATTAGGATCTTTCCTCCTAGCTCTTCTATGGCCCTTAGGCTCCATAACTTGGTTCCCAAAAGGTTCAACTCACTCACTGCAGATTATAAGTTATAAAATGAGACACATAAACATGGTTATCAGACAACGTAGGGGCTAATTCAAACTAGTGCTTACAAGAAAATATGAGAACGATCATATATTTTAAAGTAAAACTAAGGGACGAGAGGAGAAAAAAGAATGCCAAAACTCAAAACCATTAGGTTATTGTATTACGTATTTCATAGCAAAACAAGAACGCAAAAACAGAACAATTAAGATACATGATCACCAAGAAACTATTATTTTATGCAGACAACTGACCTTATTCACATGAATGATTCACAAAATAAAGATATGCCGCTCAATGTCAAATAGCTAAATACCATAACCAACACACAGATAAACATATTTCTACGTTGGTATATGGCTAATCTACCAAATACCAAAAAGTGACTATAAGCCAAACAAAGTCACATTGAAGGCAAACTACAGCCATCATTATGCACTAAGGACTGCGATGTGTTTTCTGAATTTCATGAGTTAGAAGATTGCTGAAGCTAGCATGAAAGAGTCCTTGTACCATTACTGCCCAAATAGTCCCGCCATTACAAAATACTCAAAGCAACTCAAAATGAGGTTCATATGACGTACTTCAAAATCGAGATCCTACAGCCATTCCAGAGATCACAAACGTCTACTTATGTAGCACAACCAAGATGTAAATCCCACATTAATATCCTATGATTTCCACAGCTTTAACGACATTGGCTTAGTAAAGGGGAAAAGCAACATAAACTCAAAAAAAAAACACGAGAGTACTCAACTCAAATAAATAACCCACCATGTCTTAGCTTTATTCAAGTAATTTTGTAGAACACCCCAGCAAATAAAACCAAGGAACCATCCTTCTTCAGCAAAGAATGACATAAAATTGCAAAATTCAATACTAAATAAAACAACTGAAGACCGGATACGAAGTCAAGGTTGGTGTAAGTTAGAAAGCTCAATTTGGTTAAACTAGATACCAAGGATCATCATATTGCAGAGGATGGAACACCATAATCAATGTGTGAAATTTCATGAGAATCATGTATTACTCAAGCAAATACGATGTTAGGTGTAAAGTTAAGGTCAACCAAAGTTAAAAATTTTATTTGGTTTAATTAATGTCGAAAAAACATAAAAAAACTTTTTTAAGGAAAAAATTAGTCTATGTTAAATAACTATCTACTCTAAACGGTGGAACAACTTAAAGTAGGTATCCTTCAACAGTCTTGCACCCCAATTTTCAAATATCCATTCAAATCAACCCTAAAACAAGGAAGATATTATAGTAATTCAATATCTCTCACAGGGATTCAATTTCCGTGGATGGTATATGTCTTTGACCAATTGGGTGAGAGAACTAGTCGAATTATTTGTAAGTAATCCGAACACCCTTGACCATGATACTAAAAAAAAAATCTCACAAAGGCAATAACCTCACAACATGGTCCGAACTATGAACACTGTAGAATTAAATAAAATTAAGCATAAACATTTGAAAAATAAATGAAGTAATTCAAAACGACAATAACACTCAACATAGTCAAATGGGATTAAATATAATTAAGTCACTGGATTAATCTTCACCCTTCAGGTACTGAGAAATTATTCACTGCATGCGATCACAATTCACAAATAAATAAGCAAATAAAGCCTCTTACAAACATCTCAAAATTATCATTCCAAATAGAAAAAAAGTGACGCTTTTATTTCCAAAAGTTGCTCGATTTACATATAGCAGAACACAAGTGAACAACCCAGGATTAAATGCACAACATATACGACATCGAGTGCATAATACTAACAGATTTCTACTGGTATCTTCTTGACAAATCCAAAAATTATAGTTGTGTATGAGTAGAGAGAGAGAGAGAGAGATTGCATAGAAATGATTAGAAGAAAGGTGGCTAAAAAAGGTGAGTGATTCATTCAGGATCAGGGTAACCTACGTGGATGAAAGGCTGGCAAAGTGGGCCATGGCCGCACGATTATAGGACGAGGAATCTTGGTCCCTGGATCGAAGAGAGACTTTAAAAACTCACTGTGTGTTGTTCCAGTGATGAGAGAGTCATCGAGATTTGGAAGAGACGATGACAAGTAGTATCATACGAAAAGTTAACTGTGAGTGAGAGAGAGAGTCCGAGGGTCAGAGAGACTTGAAGATGTTTACATACGGGAGCTGAGATACGGAGGACATTGTGAAGTATTTAATTACATTCCCACCGTACCTTTTTTCTGGATATTCTCTCACTTAAAAATTACATTTTGGCTAACTAAATTATGAATTCAATTTCATTTTATCCCTTAAAGCTGTTGAATACATTTTGACTGATTTAATTAAGGATTCAAATCATTTTATCCCTCAAGGGGGGTCAGATAAAGGCATACACTAAGTAAGGTGGTGTTTGTTTGACATGATTAGTGGAAATTAAGTGGGGGATTGGGTTAAAATAATCCTGGAGCCACATATCCTAGCTTTGAAAATGTAAAACATGGATGGGATTTTCTTAGTCTTTCAAATCCGCGGCCGTAGTAGTGTTGCACTCCAAATCCAATATCCCTCTTATTCAGACGGTTGTAACCCATTGAAAGTGTGGGATTGTGGATTAGTTTCGAATTTACTAAAACACCCCTACAATAATGAGTGGCAAGCTCCTTTTCTCTCTTACTTTCTTTGTTTGCTGTGTCATATGGAACCCCTCGTCAGCCTTGGCCTGAAGGAGATCTGCTCATACGAGTGGAGCAGATCTGCTATGTCTCTCTCTCACAGTTTGTGATCTTTGGATTTTCATCTCCGTCCCACACTCGGGTGTTTTGGGTTGCCATGGTGGATGGAATGTGTCCTGCATGTTTAGAAGAATTGGTAGTTATGTTATTCAGCAATTTGATATTGTTCATAGTTTTGTTTTTTTTTTTTTTTTTGAGCAGTCATAGTTTTGTTTAGTTGATGATAACAAGGAGTTAACTAGAATAAAAAGAGTAATATATATGACTGGGTATTTTTTTTGTGTATTCTTTTTCGGTTAGTAGGATTTTCGAATGACATTTTGTTTTTAAGTTCATCTGTGGTGTTGGGTCTCATTACATCTTAAAATTTTAAGATCTTAAAAATTTTATGCTCATCCATTTGTTTCCTTAGATAAAATCTAAAAAAAATTAACATTTTAATTAAAGTAACATATTTTAAATTGAATTGATTTGTGCTATTAATTTGGGCAATAATATTAAAATGCCCAAAAATTCATGGAAAATAAATTGCATTTCGATCATTGAAAAATTTTAATATGGTTCAGATTAATTTTGCTATTTATTAAAAAAAATAATTAAGTTTTATTTTTAAACACAACTTTAAATTTTCTAGAAAAAAACAAATAACAACTTAAACATGAGTTGTATCGATTTGTGTATTGTTTTTGTGTTAGAAATTATTTTTTTTTTGGATGATGCATATGATTTTTGTAATTAAAAGTGTATTGTACAAATTAAATTAAATAAATGAACAAAATATTTATTTCAATATTTTGTAAAAATGCTTAATTTATTGATTCATATTTTTTTTTCATAAATAAGACAATACTAATAGATTGGACTTTTTTTCATTTCATTCCAAATATGGTATAAAATTAAATAACATTTTTTTTACACAAGGGTGCAATGGTCATTTCAATATGTTTTATCTCCACATTTAAATGAGACTCACAAACCAAATGAAACCTATCCAAAAATGGAATAGGATTTGGATCCAAACTTTATAATCTTCCAATCCGGACCACTTTGCATTGGGTTTGAATTTAAATCCATTCTAATCCAATATTCTCATGGTGATCCAAACACCACCCAAGGGGATTAGACCGAAAATATTCAAGGGGTCCACTAATCCTTGATTTAGCAATACAATTGAGGAAAGGATATTCTATCTCTTACAAAAAATTGGGCCATATGTTTTGGGGACACATATCCCCTCTAAATTGGATTTATGGATCCCACCTGAAATTTGGGATTGCTAAACATACCAACAGGATATCTGTATATTTACCTAAATACGTTTGTACAGTAGAATAACTAGAGTTTTTATCCCCCTTCTCTCCATTTTAACCCCACTCGTCTCCCTTTGCTGCAAACGATGCCCACCCACTGGTCCCCACTCACAAGCAAATGTATGCCCCATTCTCTCTCTCTCTCTTCGGGCTTTGTAGCCATGGATAAATTAGAAAATTTGGTCTATATAAATCGAAGCCTAAAGCACCCATTGACAACACCGAATCCGAATCATTTCACAGAGCTACTAGCATTCATACGCCAATAGTTTCTCACTCTCACTTTCACTCCAGTAATGGTGCTACTGGTTTGCCATCCCCTAATTTGTTTTGTGTATTTGAACTAACATATACTCATGTATTTATGTATGTTTGAATTCGTGGATGTTTCATGAACTGGCAACGCTCTCTCTCTCTCTCTCTGAACTCTGATCACATTTCTTTGATCCCAGTTTAAAATTTGCTAAAAATCTTGGTGCTTCATATTTTTTCTCATTTGGGTATGTCACGGCTCCTGGATAATTAATTCAAAAGCCATATTAGATGTTGACATTGTTTATTTTAATGTGTTTTTATTTTGCATTTTATTCTAATTATCATCCATAAAAGTATAGGGAGAGATTAACATCATACATTGTTTATCATACTATTTATAAATATGTTTAAGAACTAGTCTTTTACAACAAATTTGGGTTCATATTATCTTGTACTTGAGTAATCTTCAGATTTTTTGCATATGATATCATGTGTTATGAGTCATCCTTGAGTTTTGTTAATGGATTGTATTTGGTTGAGGCGTAACAAGAATCACATTCAACAATTTTCATGTGAAAGTTAAAATAAAGAAATTGACATATGAAAATTGGTTCATATGTGAATTGGGGAATACCGTTGTGCAATTTTATGAATTTTTAAAAGGGTCTATGGTTCATGTATTTGTTGTATAATTTCTCAGATAAATGATATATTTTCTGCCCTTTACATATAGTGTTGCTTCTGTTTTTATGAGTGTTTTTTACCATCATTTTCATCTGGGTGCATTGTCCATTTAGACCACAAGTGAATGATGATTCATACATAATATTTCATAAAAAGTTTTACAAGGTTTTAATATGGCTACTCATGTCTGCCTAAATATAGATATTTAGTGTAAGCTATTAGATATGTTAGGTTTGAATATAGATATTCAATCTGTTTCAATTCAATCAAATTTTGTTTATGTGTTAGGTTTTGCAGCTCACTATACTGATGTTTAACCTACTACTCAGGTATTCTCCTTTATGTTGGATTGTTTTAGAGGTTTGTAAATTGGGCCTTTTGTATACTTTTGTCGACGTATTTTGTATTTAATTGTTAGAAGAATTGTGAGTTCTATTATTGCCAATGTGACATTGTTTAGAGATTTGTTTAGCTAATGAAGTAACATGGAATATATTATGTTTTTAAGGCTTATGTTTGTTTTGTCTCTTCTTCCATATTAAATTGAATTGATATATATTATTGAGATCCATGTGGTTGTTTACATGTTAGTGCACATGGATAATTGAATTTACACCATTTTAAGAGAGCTTTATGGTAATAACTAAGTTAATGGATTATTTTGTTTTTGATGAATTAGGTAAATATGGACAGCTCTAACGATGAATTATGTAGTTTACTTACCATTATGCAAAGGAATAGGTGGGAGATGGTAAGCATGTTTAATCTTGTAGTGTCCATAATGGTGATAATATGGCACAGGAAAAACAAAGCTACGACATTTGAGGTCCCAAGACGCTTCCATAGGAGTCATTTACTGAGCTTCTAAGGATCATTTTTTACTAGGAAAAACAGTATTATACTGTTTCTGAGATGCTTGACTTTGGTTTGTTTAAATGGGAGCTCCTAAAGAAATGCGTTATGCTGGGAGTCATAAATGATCCAAAGGGTTCCTTGGAAGTAAGTGATGTTCATTAGTAACTTTCTTAGGACCATTATATTTCTGAACTGCATGTTTGTTACACACTAAATTAGCGGTTGCTTATAACTTACACATGTAGGAAGATCAGTATGCTGTAAATTATTGTCTAGGCCTATGCCCAAACTTTGAATATTTTAGGATTATTTTTAAAAGAGATGGAGCAACTTCTAGTCACTCGAAAGGGGAAAGTGTTGGTTTCTGTCTATCGGTCAATTCAACTAGGCACGTGGATGTTATTTTCATCTTCGTCCGTTATCATTATGAACATTGTTGTCACTTATGTTGTGTATTTTTGTAATATGATCATATGTATGGAATATGAACCAAGATGCCTTTATTTTGTGTATTTTTGTATAAGGCAAGGTTTGTTTAATGTTAATGTTTATGTAATTTTAGCTCTTACATTCATTTGTAATAATTTTTGTTCATTACTTTCAATATAATATTTTTGGTGGAATTTGATATATTTATGGTCGTCTTTTCAAAATTTATTTACAATGGAACACAAAAAACTTAATTTTTTACAATAGTTAACTAGACTTTTAAAGTGGTAACCCAAAATTTGTTAGCCAAATGTGAGATAGGTTCAAATAGGATTCAAAGATAATAAATTAATGTCAAAGTTATGAAATTTGATTAAAAAAAAAATGGGTTGTTCATAGGCTCCACAATATCATAATTTAATAGTCAAATCAAGGATTGGATAAAACTACTTGTTGTTATCCAACACTAAATCCGAGTTATTGGGATTTCATTGGACTGATTTGAAATTTAAATTCAAATCAATTCAATCCACCGTTTTCCGAACACACCCGCTATTTTTATTTGCATAATCCATATCAACTACTTAAATTATTTTTACATTATATTAAACACTAACGCATGCTATTTTTTTGGATAAAAATTGTCAATATGTTAGGAAAAGATAAAAGAAACTCCGATAGTTCGAGAGCAAAAAATAATAATCTTCTATCAAGTTTATAATGGACGTTAATAATTAGACTAATGCGAAACTATGCACGTAAACTCGAAAAAGGACATGATCTCCAAAATTTACTATTTTTCTGTGTATTTTTATAACTTTTTTGTGGGTATTTTTACAATAAAAAAGTTTATCATTTTTGTGGACGATTTATTACTTTTCTTCTATACAAAAAAAAAAAAAAATTATCGTCCACATGTTTTTACCACTGCTGTGGTAATTATTTTTACCACTTTTCTTACCATAATAGTTGTAAAAATACCCACTACTTATAAAAAGGAAAATATTATTTAGACCTAAAAATCTGATATAATTTGTTGACCTACTGACGTGGCTTCATTGGAACCATTGGATTAATATCAAGTTCTAATGTTTAATGGAGCTCACAGTCAATCCAAAAGTTATAGTGAATTAAGGCAACAAATTTGATCAATAAATTAGGTCTCAATAACATTACTCTTATAAAAATGATAAATATCGGCACAGTACCAATTTATTTTTTTTGGGTACTGCAGACAACTCCAAAATTAAATGAGACTAAGTTCCGATTCAAACATGTAAAAATCAATATACAATAAGATTTAAAAAAGCAAGAGCACTCCAAAAATGTTGGAATGAATAATATGACCCTTTTGAATAGTACCCTTTTACCAGAATGCAGCATTTGGTACTGTACTTACCCAAAATAACATATCCAAACACCGAAATGGGATGATTGGGATTAACCCTAAATAGCATTTCCTACCTTTATCCAAACATTATAGACAAGCCCACATTTGCAGTCACCACTGACTGACCTTTCCCATGTAATACCCACCGAAATTATAGGGATTTCTTTTATAGGAGTTGTCAATGGTACCGGGAAAAAAAAAATTCCTTATTATACATTTATTTATCATATTTATGAATATTTTTATTGTTGCTATGGGTGTGTTTTATCACTATTATGATACCTAAAAAAATAATAAAAATAATTACCACAACAGTGATAAAAATACTCATAAATATAATGAAATATCCACAAAAGTAGTAATTTTTTTTTGTAATTAAGAAAAATAGTAAAAATAATTACCACAACAATGACAAAAAATCCATAGAAGTGATAAATCATCTACAAAAATAATAAATTTTTTAATTATAAAATAACTCACAAAAAAATATAAAAGTACTCATTGAAATAATAAATTTTGAGGTACAATATTAATTTTTTTATTCCGTACCGAAAGTGAAGTCCTCTTTTATAAGGATTCAGGACAGGGGAGGTCTGCTTCTTCCCTACCTGTCTCAAATCCATAGGGTCAAGATTCAGCTAATCAATTTGAGGATTCTAACAGCCAGATCAATGTCGCATTTCGAGGACACTGTCCAACATGCTACCAAACTCATGCCTTCACCTTTCATCCAAGAAACACAGTACTTATAAAGTTTTTTTTTAATTATTATTCTAAATTTTTTTCAATTAATGATAATAATTTATATTCTAATCAAATTCAACAATTACAGATAAATTTCGATATAGTATTGAATTTAATTGATCAAAGGGTAACGCTTTGCATATCAGTGCTCTCCGATGCCTTTTCTTTTCATATTGACCTGAATTTCATCAAAATTTTAAGTTCATTTTATAATCGCACTAAACTGCACAAGCACTGAACTGCACAAGCAACGTATGGCTTGGCTCAGATTAAATTGATTCTTATTTATATCACTCGACATGCTCACACATTTAGCATTCTGTTCATGTTTGGCTGTCGTTTACAACTTTTAGCATACTTTGCTAAACAATGAAATAAAAAAAACCAGCGAAAATTAATTCAGTTGACCAGGATTCTTAAACCGTACTAAAAATTCGAAGCCATCGATTGCTGCGAGACGATTTCTGCTTTGGAAACATACTGTAGTCATAACTATGTCGGAGACCCAACTTTGATCCCCACCCCCTAAAGAGTAGGGTACATATTGCTCGATCCTACAAATCACAGTACTTGGGCATGAGAGATAGGTCATGGCCAACAAGTGCCACTACACTTCTAGGGAAAGAGGGATTGCTATCAAGAAGAACAAGAGTATATTTTGGTTACCACATTAAGAACAACTTCAATCATCTTTCCAGTAGAATAATAAACACTTACAATAATATTAAATAGGAAATATTCAAAGGACAAACCAATTGTTCTGAGGGTGCATTCACTTCTCACTGCTACAATTAACTATTAGTGACATTGCTAAGGTTGTAGAACGATAGGCCACTGCATGCTGGCACCCTGGCATTCGAGTTCTAACTATTTCTCCCAGAGCAGCGTAGTCAAACCAAACATCTGATACAAAAGGTCATTATAGCAAATTCCATTATTTCCTCTTTGCGATTGGATTTTCAAGATACCTTTACCTTTGATCTCTTCATATAACTTCAGGTTGACACAGAAAGAAACACTTTCGACCTCATTTCAGGCTGCAGCAATCAAATCAAAGTGCATGGCAGCATGTGCAAAACCTGCAAAGGAACAAACTCAAGGGAACAAAGCGCAACTCTATTGGAATACAAGAACCTTCCTGATCCCTAACATCATTACAAGTTACAAATCCTCTACCCTAAGATTGTCCAATAAAATATTTATTTTGAATGGGGCAATCAGACATGACAAAAATTATAATTCTAGTTTTTATCAGGTGAGGATTCATTCTTATAATATGGATTTTTGGAAAACATGATGGAGTAATCATCAATAAATTTGAAAACAATTGCAATTTCTACAAGCTGAATGAATCCTACACATCATAACACAAAAACCACAACGAAAGCTAAACATATCATTCCACTGAGGGTTAATGATCTTTGCATCAAAAAACTCTTCCCTAGTCCCACAGGCATCAAATAAGGCCAAGTTTTTCCACCATGTGTCAGATCCTCTACCTGCTTGATCTGCCAACTAACAAAGAAATAATAGTGCAACATGTGACTAATTGATGGGCTTAGGTTGTGAAAAGCATGCAGTACAATGTTTCTACAACAAAAAGATGAATGTTAACTCTTATTCCTAAAGATGACAGGCTGTTTAAATTCTAGGGAACAAAAAACATGGGGATTTCTTGTCGAAGCCTTGAGGTATAGGGTGTTGGGGAAAGGGGTTACAGAAAAGGAAAGATGAGGATTATCGAGTGAGCTATTAGGCAGAGAAAATTTGAAGGATAGAATGACTGCTTGTGTGTAGCTCAAAAGAAGTCTATCTGGAGCGAGCTAGATTAGGAGAATGATGAGTATTCTACAATTGACGTACAATCCTTTTCAAACCATCATACAGAACACTGCAACATACAACCACAAGAAAGCTCTGAATATTTTAGTATTGGTCTCCCTCAAACTTAGTGTGCATACATTTATACAGGACGCTAAAGATCATCTACTAACAAGGATCCAAGTAAATGAATGAAAATCCAATCAAGGGAATACCCAAAAGAATATAAAACATAACTACACCTGAAATTAACACATGAATAGTAATCGAAGCCATGTCCAGAAAGTCTACAAGGTCCTACTCAAAATCAGACTGAAGTGAAGGTTCTCTCCTTAAATTTGATTTTTGTAATTGTGCGTCTTATGGACTAAATTACATACCTATTGATTCTATCATTTGGTGCTGTGGAGCGATAAAACTACAGGCAGGAAAAAAGGACGACAAGCAATGCCATCTAAAAAATTTGTACATGCCTAATCACTTAAAACTAAAAAGGAACCCTAAAAAATTCTTTTCAGCAGAATTTTAATTTATTTCTGAAACAGATCTATATCCACAAGATTGTACATTTCATATGTTGTCCAATAAAATGAAATAGTTACCTAAAAACATACATTAAAAATCTATTGGATGCATCAACTGCGAGAGTTTGATGTGTCTTGAGATGTCCAATTCCTTGCGTGCATACTCGGTCAAAAAAATAAATTGCACTGAGAAATAAGGTCAACAGTCTACATGCCTAGAAAGATTTTGTCTGCAGAATCATTTAACTTGTATCAACATTAGAGGATGCCTTCTGCTTTCTCTTGTGCTTAGGTTTCACAGCATCCTTCAAAGTCTTCTCTCCATTTGTTTGTAGCTGACTTTCAGCTGCCTCATTAGATGAAGGAACTGGATTAATACCTGCCAGTGGTTGGCCTGTCTGAGTTTTATTCTGCTTCTCATGTCTTAATTCTTCTTGATTTTCAGTTGGTGTTACTGCTCCTGCATGTAATATTATACAGTGTGTAAATTTCTATTACCCTATAAACCATATTTCTGCCAAATGTAGAGTATCTTTAGATGCAATACAATTCAAATTTACAAAGCAGTGTGCAGATCTAAAAAAATCGAAATGATAGCTTAGTCTGATAGCATATAAGCCATACATTAATCATTTTTTAATGTAACATATCTCTCAGTTGGGATGATAGCTGCCTCTGAAAACAGTGATCAGTGATTTATTACCTTGCCTAGCTTTATTGGTGGATGAATACTACATGCATCTTGAATAGAAAGACCACATAATTGGAGTTCCAACAGTTCCATGAGCCAAACTCAAGAAATAGCCTTTGATCAGGTTCTCCATTTCTCAAATATGACAACTCAAAAAAAGAATATAGAGGGGTGTGTTACGTGCAATCACCAAAAAAGCCAACAACACAGAAGTGAATGTCGAGCATGAAAATATCAGTCAGGTTATGGCTATACCAAAGACTTTAGGAAAAGAAAAATGCATTCCTCCCATTTCTTACTTTGATCGGCTTGCCCATGAGTCTTTTTTGACAGATGGGGTCATTATGGAATGAGAAAATTTAGGTAGAGATCCATTTTCCAATTTGAGGGGGCATGTTAAACACTGATGTCATAGGATTAAACTTGTGAATTTCACGTACTTTAGTAATAATATTAATAACATCTCATCTCTCAAATTCTCTTCCCATCCCTCTTTGCTTTGTAATACAACAATCCAGAGATTTGTAATTCATGATCTCACTAGGAATACTATGAAGACACATAAAAGCACACTCATATCTGCCTACAAAACCACACCCAGAATAACAGACCCCATAATTCAGAACTCTCATGAGAGACTGGGAACTTAGTTTAAGTTCATCAAGCAGCACAATATCTCAGGACAAGTGATAAGAGAGCAATGGTGAATACCACATGAAGCAAGAGAAGCTCTCAATGCATCAAAATCAACACCCTTCGAATAAGGGCTCCTGAAAGGAAAAAGAAAAAGAAATAGGATGTCAAAACTGAAAAAAATGAAGTGCTCGAATGAGAAAAAGTAAAATGTAATATGTTTCTTTTGTCCAATTTAGCTTTTTTCTTGGAACGAAATATGCGTGTCTGCGTGTTGAAATGTCAAGAAGGGCATGAGACATCAAGAAAGACGATTGAATAGACCGAGAGCCATGACTCTTTCAACTTGTAGGACCACAAGTCCCAAATTCATCCTGCCACTTAAGTATTGTATGTTCAACATCCAATAGGAAATATTGCATTATCCTGGCTATGATATTTCACATTGTTTGCTTCCCTTGACCTTTAAGACTTGGCGAGGAAATGGCAGGAAAGTAATCAAGTGCATATTACACTACATTTAAAATTTCCTTGTCAATGGAATCCATTTTCTATGTAGGCTCAATACTCAATATGCCCGGCCCTTGTATTGAAGCCAAACCTAAATCCTTGCATAAGCAAAAATCCAACCTCATCCTAAATTATTCATTGACTAACAACTTACAATTAGTAATCCCATAAATAACATCAAAAAATGGAGGTTAGATGTATCAGGGCAAAGTCCCAAAAAGATCCGGACAAAATGAAACCATACCAGCTTGAAGGCCCGCCTATAAAACTCTTAGAATAGCCTTCTGTCCTATTAGTCTTATCTTGTCCAGATGATTGGGTTTCAAACTCCATGTCATTGCTCTGACTGACACTGCATTCCTCTGATTTTAACTGCGATCTTTCCATATGATGCCTTGACACATCACTGACTCCCTTCTGACCAGGTTCGCTAACATCCAGAGCAGCAGCAGAAGAGTGACGTTTAATCTTCCGTAGTGCTCTTTCAGTATTGTATGATTCAACCTGCAGAAATTTAAACAATTTAAGGCGTTGAATTGGATCTATTAATCATACTGATCAGATACCACCATGTAATCACTTGACAGATGGAGAAGTTATGCCATGAGAAAAACATCATCTTTTCCCATTTTGTTACATATTGCCAACCCTTAAAATGATTCTTAACAGAAGCAGAACCATGCATAAATGTGTGCTCCATTGACAGGCCTACAACAGGCCCTACCTCAAATTTGTCAGAAAATTCCCTATTCTTTTAAATTTTTATTTCCCAAAGATTGCATTGATGCATTCATGTTTCAGACCATGCAATCAAGATTACATCTAATTGTACCACAGTTCATTGTAAACTTGCACCCAAAACCTCCCGACATATAACCCAAAATGCAACAGTCAAATTCACTCACATTAGTCGCAAATTTAATTATCTCACCTCCCCATCAGATTTGAACAGAATTAGTATTCGAAGATGCATGTGATTTCACAGACAAAATAAACCATACCAAACAAAACAGGAAAATACAATATTTTAGAAACATTCTCCTAGTTGTTAGGTTGGTTAGTGTCTTACCATTCCCAGCCCCATTGCTGCAGCGTTCAAATCACTAACATCAAGTACAAGAACTCAAGAACCATCATTTGGTAAGAAAACTTCTTTGATGGATAGCAGTATAACAGGTATAAAAGGCACCTCAAGATCTACGAAATAATTTCATAATATAGGAACTCACAGCATTCTTTATTTTGCTTGTTATATCAGCAGCCTTCACAGAAGCAATCCGTAAACATTGCATTATAACACTCTGCATGACACCTTGTCCTCCAGCTTTTTGAATAGCACAAACATCACCATTTGTATTAAGTGTAGCAGTCATTCTTCCTCCCATAACAGCTTCTTCAAAGTGAGTCGGATCTATCACCTAGCAGCACCAATTACAGTTTAAAGAGAACTTGACAATCAAAACAAAGATCTGGATAGATGCACTCTATTGAGTGAAATGACCACAAAAGCTTTTAGAATTTGGTTTGCCCACCACAATGTTCTCGTCACCAATAAACGCAAAAGTCACTGCTATAGGGAGATGATGTATTATCAATGGAAGTGGCTCCCTCACCTGTCAAAATGCAATACTTCAAGCTTATACATAACGAGCACTTGATCAAAATTAGGGTTAAATTCTGATGGCTTAAGCTTATACATAACCAGAATAATATAATGTCCCACTGGAAAACATATCCTCTGAAACTACTTGATTTGGAAAACTTGTTACTCCAATCAAAGCATAGCGTTCGTTCACACAGAGAATAAAATAAATAGCAAGGTGGAAATGGCCCTTTTTCTAACTTCTATCAGGGTAAACATTGAAATAGGAAATATGATGCTTGAAAATACAACTCTCATTCAACAGCACAGAGTATTTACGCAGGAGTTTGTGATGTTGTATGAATACTTAAAAGGTGTATGGTAAGTTTCTGAAGAGCTCAGAAAAGAAAAAAAGTCAAGTTTTCCCTTTCTAGGGAATCTTTTACCTACAAAAACTGAAGTCCATAAGAAAAGAAATAAAGGAAATACAACTCAGGATAAATGTAGAGCATTTGAGATGTCTATCTTGCCCCTGCAAGGCTGCAACATGCTTCAATAATTTTATGGACATAAAAAGGTTCTTTTGCCAAGTCTTAAGGACAAGTTACATTTCATGTCCAAAACAAAATAATTAAGAAAGAAGAACAGACCTATCACCATGAATTTGATAGGTCAGCTACCACACCCTTAAGGACAAGTTACATTTCATCTCCAAAACAAAATAATTAAGAAAGAAGAACAGACCTCAGAAGGATGTATAATCACTTCCTGACCATCTTCTCCTCCCAGAGTACATTCAGGCCTCCGGAATGTCAATAGAGCAGCCAAAGTAGCAACATTCGCAGCATCAACAAGATTGCTGTTTGGAAAAACAAAAAAGGACAGTTTATTTTAGAAACACAAGATGAAGAAACAAATCAGTACTTTACTTGGACTTACGAGGATACGTCAAAAACCTACCCCCCATTGTCTAGAATGTGAAGATCAATGCGAATGGACCATACCCACTTTCCAGCAACAACACAAAGTGATTCTGTATCGACCGCCCGGCTTTCACTACAAGATCATTTCCAAACTTTCCATTATGTAAGCAAGTTTTGAGAAGATGTTCTCCTCCAATGGGCCAGATACCCAATTATTGTGATAAAAGGGAAAAAGTACGTAATATTGGAAAAAATACTACTTTGGAATTTTACCATTTGTATTAGAACCTATTTCACAATAAAATAGAAATGACAGAATCCCAAAATTGTGTAAGAAGCTTTTGTGACAATACTTTCTGCAGAAAAATATTTCTAAGTCAGAGCAAAATGTGTTTCTTTCTGACAAAAAATCCTACCGTAACCCACGGTCTACTATACGTCCCAACTCCACAGCAGATTCTCCAGGACGACCTGCCTCAAATGCAGGGTCAGCCATTGGAGAAAACTCAGTATAAATTGATAGAGTGCCTTCATTTGGCCTGTCTCGATAAGGTTGAACTAGTTGGGAAGTGACAAAACCCATAACATGAGTCTGGCCGAGCTGCACTTCTGATGAGCCATCTTCTCTGCGCATTCACCATAAAAGCATTCAGATATGCTAAATGCCATATTTGCTAAATCCGAGTGTAACTATGATGTATTATTTAATCACCCATGAAGTTTTAGGGCTTAAATTCACCAACAGATCAATATCCAGAAAAGCATTCAGGAACTTCATTACAAATCTATAGATCCCAATATGCACACAATGTTTATCATTGAACGAAACAGCGATTGGTTTGTTACACTAACAATTTATTTTTTATGCATACCAATACCAGACATGAGTTATTTTTGTACAGAACAGATCAATTAAAAACAAAGGAGAACCAATAGATTTAATCTAGTGCAATAAAGAGTAGGACTGACAACCCTGGCACTGGAGGTTTAGATTAAATGGCAGCCACTTTGTGCAAATAATGCATTATTAGATATGTACCGCATCCACCCCTCCCAACACTCACCGAGTGGTTGATATACAAAAGATGAAGCATCTTCCATAACCAATTGTAGTGGCACACACATACATATAAACAACCTCGAGCTTATGTGTTCGAGTTGAGAGTATTCCTTTATGCAAAAACAAAATAAACAAAATAGCAAAGATGAAAGCGGCCAATTGTGAAAATAATTCCAAAGTTCAGGTATATGCCCAATTCAATCCTCCTAAAACCATCATTTAACAGGACCAAATTGGGTAATGACCATATGCATGTATATATAGGTAATTGTGCACATTGTACATCAACTGAGGAAGAAAGCCTTGTTCAAATTCCTTTTTATCAAAAACATATGGCCATCCAATTTACAATTCTTACCTATAATACATGTGCAACGAAAACAAATAATCTCCGAATCAACAATTCTTACCTACCAAACATGATGTTTAGCCGTCTATAATCAAAAGGACGACGGCCATCAACTCTTAGGTCTGAAAGTAAAGCAGTCTCTATAAACTTTTTCTCATTCACTGTCATCCGCCATGTGTTAGACAATCTCTGCTCCATTTTATATTCTGCAGAAACACCAACAAAACTACTCAAAAGTATCCAACACTATATAAATATTTCCTGTGTATGTCATTGCGTGTGCGTGTGTGCATGTGTGTGGGAGAGAGAGAGAGGAACCTCAGTAGTAGACTCAATGGGGTGTTGCAGACGGAAGCCAAGGAGCAAAACCCAAGAAGAGTATTTTAGAGTTTTAAATTGGGTTAGAACCCAAATGGACCAAATTGGGTTTTAAATTAAGAGAGAGTGTTTTGCTTGTTAGGGCTGTTGTTGGGGTATGCCCTTCACCTGTTTGGTTAGATCTCCCGGCTGAAGGGGGGATTGGGGATGGTCAGGTTACCGTTGCTTGGGTTGGTATTGCAGAAGTTGGAATTGGAGGTGTGTGTATGTATGGAAAAAATATTAGATGCGTAGATTTAAAATTTGACCTGGACATCGACCCGAAAAAAAAATCAGCAACTATAATCAGCAACAAAAAAAATCATCAACTATAATCAGCAACATCAGCAACAACTCATTCATTCATTCTCATTTTTGCTCCTTCTATAATATTAAAGGCACACACACACACACGAACGCACACACACAAATGGAAGAAGGGGAAGAAGTTCTGGGTTTTGTACAGTGAACGAGTCATTTGAGAAGGCAAGCTATGGACTCATGCCCAACATGGTGTTCTACTTGAGAGAGCGAGCTATGGACTGTGCAAAAAAAATTCAGAGAGTAGATTATTTACCTTGATGGAGAGCCCTTCACCGTCGAAGACAAAGATTAGAACACCTTCACCGTTCAGCTTCACCGTCTGGGCTGAGAGAGAGAGAGAGAGAGAGAGAGAGAGGGGGGGTCTGGCGGCGAACACACTCTTGGGCTTGGGGAGGTTAGAGGGGTTAGGTTTGGGAGATCAACGCTATTTATATGGGTGGCTAATAAGCGTTCTAACAAAGTTTGATCTCTTGACCACATTAATACTCAACGCGCCATAAACGTTTGTGATTTTTTCAAAAACGATTTTTTGCCCTTTTTAAAAAATCGTTCCTCATTTTTAAAACGATGCAATAAAAAAAAAAACAAAAACAGTTATCAAACAAATTTTTTTTTAATTTTCTCCAAATATGAAAATAAAAATAAAAAACAAAAAACTTAGACGTTACTAGACGTTAACAATTCATCCGTTGATTATTAGTCGGACTGATAATATAATAAAATAAATAATAATAAATGGGTTAAAAATTCCATTTTTAAGTTCGTATTTGTTATACAAGAAGAGGGACTTTATATATAAGCAAAATTCATTCACTATTTCAGGATGAAGCATCTGCAAGAATGTGTAAATAAACAAATGGGTCATAAGAGAAAAGCAGAAGACAAAAACAAAAAGCCTAACGATCAGGAGGTTTCAACTAATTTATTCTCAAAATAAATGGAAGGATCAAATTTTTTATTAAATTATAAGATTTTTAATGCATAAAAATAATTTGAAAAAAGAAATTTCCAAAAATAATGGCATGATTTAAGGGAGCACACAAATATCAAAGGAAAATCCAAAAATTTTAAATTATGTACTTGTATATAATTAAGATCTAAAATTAAGAACTTGTTTGTTTTACATTTTTTTTATGTGTACTTTTGTACAATTAAACCCTATTTAATAAACTCTCTTCTAATTTTTTATTAAAATATTGATTAAAAGTAACAGTTACACCACTTCAACAGTGGTGTGTGACGTAACCGTTCACTAATAAATAACACTAAAACTAATAATCACCCTATCATATAATATATAATTACCTTCATAATAGAAAGCAGGTCCTATTTTATTTTATTTTATTTTTTTGTTGAATGGTTATATCCACTATTTACTTGTTTGGATGAGCTTTCAATTTTGGGTTTTCTAGACATAGAGGGTTGAAGGTTTAGGGAAAATTTCAACCACATTCTTTTTAATTTATTATATTTTAAAGGGCATCCCCTCTATTATCAAAAATATCACTGACATTGTTTTTAGTTTATATTTTAATATCACTGACAACTCCCGATAATAAACCACCATTTATAATAAAAAAAAATTTATCTAAGATGCCAAAAATGTCTCAACATAAATCTCAAACAATTTTTTTTTATATAAAAATCGATTAAATTCAAGCCGATTAAAATTTATTTCTCTACATTTTAAAATTTGAATCGATTAAAATTTATTTTTTTGTATATTAAAATTTGAGCTGATTAAATTTTATTCTCGAGCACTAAAATTCTTTTTCTTAGCCTATTAATTTTTTTTGCGTATTAATATTTGAGTCTATTAAAATTCTTTTTTATGTATTAAAAATTCGCTTTGAATCGATTAAAATTTATATTTGTTTACTTATTAAAATTTATGTCAATTAAAATTTGATTTAAGTTGATTAAAATTTATTTTTCACATATTAAATTTGAGTCGATTAAATTTTTTTTTTTATGTATCAAAATTCGGGCCAATTAAAATTCAATACGAATTGATTAAAATTTGATTTTATTCGGCTCAAATATAATTTTAATCAACTCAAATTTTAATACTTAAAAAATATAATTTTTAATCAATTCGAATTTTAATGTGTAAAAAATAAATTTTAATTAGTTCAAATCGAATTTTAATACATAAAAAGATTTCGAAAACAAAGGTGGTCTCATTGAAGATATGCTTATCTAGAGGGGTGTAGATGAAAATTTTCCTCAAATATATCATGGGTAATTTAGTAAGATTATATTTTAATTAACACATTTAATCTGACAGGGGTTGTAAGTGAAAATTTAAAAAATAGAGAGGGTATCCTTAAATATATGATAAACTAAAAGGGATATGACTAAAATTTTCCCTTAAATTTATCTTTTGATTGAATTAAAGATAATTCATCCAAAAAAAATTGATGAAAAGCAGCAACAGGTAGCGGCAGTTATTAGAGGCGACTTGCCACGAGTTAGCTCAGGTGAGTAGCTCTCTAAATCTCACTAAGATGTCAAGATTTAAAAGACATGCAGAATGCAAGAATTTTGTGATGGAAACAAGACATAGTCCTCACCTGCTCAAAAATCTGAATTTACTTCTCACGTGCAACTTAGTAACCCACTTTTATTTATGATTGATAATCAAGTCAAGCTACTTGAACTCAATTCGAATTTGACTTGTATAGCGTTTAATTCAATCGAATTTAAACAATTTTTTAAGTTCGTTTAAAAAACGAGCCTAAAAACTCAGCTCGAATTCATAAAATTCAAATCGTTTATATGTAAAATAAGCGAACTACTCGGGTTCGACTTGTTTTGAGCTCGACTCGAGTTCGGTTCAACGCAGATTTGACTTAGTTTCTAAACGAGCTCAACTTTAATAATTTTTTAAGCTCGTTTAGAAAAACAAACTCAAGAGGCTCGGCTCGATTATCAACCCTACTTTTAACTTTCGAAACTTGCAAAGCCTAAATCTGCATAAATCTACAAAGAATAACATTGCAATATGTTCCAACATTACTTTGTTTAGACTATTCAGATTACTTCAAGAACAATCTCAAGATCCAAAGAGTTCAATAACAGAACACAATTTGAACAGCTGCAGGAACAATCTGAAGGACCCAAATTTTCAACATACAGATGGTACACCGTATCCTCGACTGTCACAAACCCGACCTTTTCTCACATATTATTACTCGATCACTCTAATATAAAGATCAAAAGAAGACAACGGGAGTAATAAGTATATCTAATAAGTCTCCTCAGCATTTATAGTTTTATACCTCTGGGGGACAAAAACTGGAAGTACACTACTACTCTGACCAAGAGGAGCTAGTTGGAGAAAACCATTGACTCAATAAGTATAGCCCTTAACAAACATTCCTTTCTTAGATTCCTCGCTCTCACCATCAGCAGAGTACCTTCCAAGCTGGGCCAAGGAGTTTGCCATGGCACGCACCAAAAGTGCCTTTTGTGCAGCTTCTATGTTCTCCGGAAGTCCTTGCCATGTCTTGAGCACGGTGTTCTGCAGTGCACGTGCATAAGAGAAGGATACATGCCATGGGTTAGGGCTCTGATTCATAGCATTTAGGTTTAGTGTTGCTTCCGCTTCAGATTGTCCTCCTGACAAGAACTGCATAACAAATGCACATATCCTCTTTAGCAACCATCAAAGAAATCAAGGGCAAATACATGTGAATAGTTCATTAGCATTTGAACAGCAGCAAGTTGCGGTGTCATTATTTCAGTATCAAAGTGATGAACTATGTAATATTATAATCGTTCGAGAAGTAATGGAAAATCTTCCAACAGAAATTAAGAATGCAAAGGTCCAAATTTAACATTTTATACCGTAAAGAAAGCTAGTATCTCACATCGAATGATTAGGTTCACCCAATGCTAGTTTATATGATTGAGAGGCTACTCTACTCATTGTCACTTGGTGTTAGGTTGGATGCTCTAACATCGTATCAGGGATGGACCTTAGGTGGTTAGTGAGTCAAGGCTGTTACCCCTTTGAATTTTCCAGAATGCATCGTTGTTTGTTTATTTGTTAGCACCACATGCGAGGCCAGGTCCTACGTCAGGGAGTGTGTAAAGAGAGTTTACATCCCACATCGAATGATTAGGATCACCCAAGGTTGGTTTTTATGTGTGAGGGACTACTCCACTCCTTACCATTTGGTCATGGGTTGGATGCTCTGACATTTACCACATCAACATAAACAAATATTATTGAGCCACCATCATGTGTGTGTGTGTGTCATAGAGAATAACGTCCTAGCTACTCATAACCAAGGTTGTTGGGTGGGCTGGAGTTGTTGTAATGAGGAGTAGGGCTTGCATGGAGAAGAGGAGAGGTGTAGATATGTTTCATGACTCTTGGTGGCCAGTGCATGCTAGAATATGACAAACAGCTCTGTTTGCATTGCAGCTATGCATGGTGGATTTGTGTATACTAGTGGAATGTTTATCAGCCTGGCTGTATTGTTTCGAGAAGGGTAATTAAGAGATGCAGATGCTCTTCTCTGCAATTTCCTGCCAAATGTGCTCTCCTCACCCCCGTTTGCAAGCTTATAATCTATTTTTATAATTGTTAGCTCAAAACAAAGCAGAAAAGTAGTCAGACATTCATAATAGAGGTAAATATTTAACCACAAAACTCGGAACAAGTTAAGATATATTTAAACAAAGTAAAAAGCAATGAAGTGTGTAGATCAGTAAGACATGTGCTCAGGGTATTGTACCATGATTCCAGGAACAGCAGGAGGTACTCTCCTTTGGAGCATCCTGAGAGTATATTTGGCAATGGTATCCGGAGAAGCCTTCTCCTTGTGTTCAGCCCCAGGAGTCACCATGCTGGGCTTCAGGAGAATTCCTTCAAACGTAACATTGTTCTCTG